GATCTTTTGGCACACCTTTTGAGAGCAGAGCTGGGGTTCGGACTTGGAATGATTGGGATGCTGCCTGGCTTCGGCGCGAAGTCAGTGTGTGGAAGTGTGCTAGCACCTCCAGCAGTCCCGGCAGCTGGGACCGCAACCCTCGCTTCTGCCTCACCGCCTGCACAAGCCGGTTGGATGATCACACAAAGGAGCAGGAAGAGCAAGTGCAGAACAGTGAGACCCTGGGAATTGGGACCCAGGCGGCTCGTGGTGATGGACCGTGGCAATGCCTGATTGCCGGCCTGAAGACCTGGGCCAATGGTGGCGGCGCGGGAATATGGTCGAGGATGCGCTTTCATTTTGCAGTCTGAGGGGTAGACCCTGGGGGTGCAGGTGCCAGCCCCAAGGCAGGGCCTCAGCAGTCTGATGCAGACAAGGCTTGCAAGCCGTGCACAGAGGAGAAGCCAAGCGGTGAGTGCGATCCAGGCCTCCCACAGGAGGAGCACAGCAGCACATCGGTACCTGTAAGGCTGATGGTGCCACAGTTGCTTGCAAGCCAGCATGAGTGAAGGCAGATTGACAGTTGGGCATGCAGGAGCCCCGGATGCAAACTGTGCAGTGGCAGCATGAAGCATCAGGCTTTTCCACACTGGAAGAGCACGTGGCGTTTGTGGGTCCCTTGCCAGGCCGCCAGTCATCAGGGGATGAGGGTCTAAGATCTCACCTGATGGGTAGGCCCATGGGGGTTGTGAAGGCAGGGCAAGCATGACAGTTTTCAAGAGTTGTTGGGCTACCCCCCGCCTGTCTGCCGTGTCCGAGTCTGGCCTGGGCGAGCGCGACCGTGACCGTGACCGTGAAGCCTCCCTGCTGGAGCCACGTCTGTGTCTGTTGCCTTCGCGTAGGGCTGCAACAGTGCGCCGGGTCTCCTCCAAACAGCGATGAGCCGCACTTAGATTAAAGGACACGTCGTCGGCTTCATAGACCCAATCTCCAGGCCTCGTTGAAAAAGGGTTCTCGGATGCCGTGGCGTCTGTGACCGGATGGATCATGTGCAGCGGGTCTCCTGGGGCTGGCCCCATCAAGGCATCCATGGGGTCCGCCAAGCCGTCGGATGCTGCACGCCCCGGGGTAGCCGTAGTCCCTGCATCGGATGCTCGGGTGGGGCCTGCCGGGCCATACTCATCTGGTGCCTCATCCTGGTCGTCGTCCGGGGAGTGGTCTGACTCCTCTTCCCCCTCCTCGGCGGCTGGGCCATCCTCATCATCGTCGTGTCCAGTGCCAGCATCCTCTCCCGCCCCGGAGAGACCGCCCATGTGCAGAGGATTATTGAGGTCTTGCGGGTCAACTCTCTGACAGCAAACCTCGTCCATCTCCGTAGCCTCCTCAAGGATGATCCGCAAGGAGCTCCAGGACTTCACGGTGGCCAAGGTGGGGGCATGAACAAACGCCGGGCCTGTGTGTTGCAGGGTGTTCAGCACATTGACCGCCATGACCCTCTGCCAATGAGGATCATCCGGTTCTCCTGGCATGTGCGGAGTCGTGGGTGGACCTCTGGCACTCGAGGAGGAACCTGCAGGAGTCGATGTAGCCTGTTGCTGCCTATGTGCAGCCCCTAGGGGACCATGTGGCAAGGCTGGAGGTCGCGCAGATTCGAAGCCCGGAATGTACAGCCTGGCCAAGGGATGGCTCATCGGAACAGCCGGCGGTGGGCCGTATGGTCCAGGTCCTCGTCGGTCAGGGCTGGGACTCCGGTCAGCCTCGGCCAGTGCTGCCGTCAAGGTTGACAAGGCCGACCCCGCATCAGAGGCCTCATCTTCCCCAGCATCAGCTGCAGCTCCACCACTCGTCTCACCCGTGGCTGCTTCCGCCGTAGTCGAGGCGGTCACCGGGCCAGTGTCGGCCAGAGCCTCGTCCAAGGCCGAGTCGTGCAGAGGATCCCGCAGTGGGTCCATGGTAGCGGAGCACAGGA